TTAAGTTAAGACAAAACGTCCTTATCAAATTATCAAATATATTTTTATATCTTCTAGGCCTAAATTGTCAAAATTTTCTTTTATGGCTTTACTAAAACCACTATATATATATATGTTGGGGCTTGAATACTTATATTAAGAATACCTATATTATTATATAAAGTTCTTCTTTCTTCTTTATTATAAAGTGTCTTCAACTTTTAACTAATTTTTTTTTCACTTACTAAATTCACTTCAAGACTTCCTAAAGAATATTTTCCTCGAACTTTTACAAGTGAATAACGGTTATCGTGTTGTTTAAACCATAAACATTAAATTTTGCTTAGCATCAGCCTATATAACATAGGCGTATAGCTACAAGAAAATTCTCGGTGTTTTGACCTTAGAACACTTCGTCAGGAACCGAAATTATAGTCATTCTTACCCGGTTACCCCCTCAAGTATAAGGACAAACAATTTTTGGCAATATGAAATATCAATTTAAACATAAATTATCCTTTATTTTAATTTTAACTCTTCAATCTAAAAAGACGCGAAAGCATTAATTCTAAGCGGATCACAGTTGATAATTCTCCTTTTGTGTATGAAAGACCTTGTCCAAACAAGATTCTGACGTTGTCCAAACAAGATATATCGTTTTCTAGTGAAAGGTTTGGGCCGCGGTACTTTGTAAGCCCAACATTCAGCTCCTGCTGTTGCGTGCAAACGGGCGTCGTTTAAACAGTAGTTTGAAAGAGGTAGCAATATCGTCAGAATCAATGGCTGTCTTACTTTTTGCGCTAATTTTATTCTTAAAAACATCTCAGCCGGGTGAATGTCTAAACACCAGACAGATCTGGTTTCACAAAATTAAACAAAACTATTTGCGGAATCATGTCATCGCCACAAAGCAGGCGGACAACGAGTTGGAATGTGTCATGCATTGTGTTGACGAGTTTTCGTGTGTTTCTGTAAATTTTAAAACATCTGGAGTTAGAAAAGGTCTGTGCGAACTCAACAATTTAACACTTCCAGCGACAAACAACGCTGATGAAAGTATTCTTAACCCAGAGTTCGTCCATCTTCACATCGTCAGAAAGGTAAGAAACGAACTATACAGTTATTTTATAGTGTCATGGTTGTTATATTCCTACGTATTTGATAGTAAGTCTCGTTGGAAGAGCTACATACAAGTGTTCTCTATTACACAATGAGGTGTCTTTTATGCTAAATATTAACATAATCTATGAATACATTACGAATATATTACATCTCCCTCTTTTTATTGTTTTTTTGAATGTTTTCTAAATTGTTCTTAGAATATATAAATTTTTCAACTAACTAACTTGATAGAAATTATTTACAGTTTCCATACATCAAATAATCTGAAAATCGTTTTGGTTTTGTAATTATCCGTCCGGATCGTGTCTTTAGTACTAGCGTTTCCGACGTTTGCACCGACGGATTTCCTTCTCTTGAATCTTTATTTAACGATTGTTCAACAACTGTTCTTCGTTGAGGAATTTCAGTTGTTCTCTTCACTGGGCTTGGTGTTTCAATCAAATGCCTTTTATTTCTTCTATATACACACGTCCATCTGGCGTTTCAACATGATAAGATCTTGGAGATTCATCACGATCAACAATAGTTGCTGGTTGCCATGTTTTACCTTGGCATATTCGTACTTGGTCTCCTTTATGCAAAGGTTTTCGAGTTTTTGAGAAACGATCATAATAAAGTTTTTGTCGAATCTTTTGTTTTTTCAAACAATTCTGCACGTGTTGTCGGTTAGGGATCTTTGGAACCAACTGCTGACTAGTGGTTGGTAGATCTGTTCGCAATCGCCTGTTCATTAGGAGTTGGGCCGGAGAACCAACATCAGATACAGACGTATTCCTGTAACTGAGAAGGCTTAGGTAAGGGTCTTCTCCGCTTTCTTTCGCTTTCTGTAAAAGATTTTTTCACTGTTTGAACAGTACGTTCAGCCAACCCGTTAGACTGTGGCTAAATAAGCTGGGGATGAGGTTTTATGTTGGAATGTCTATGAATACATTACGAATATATTACAATGGTGATGCGTTACTGCGTGTGTTTTCAGTTCGATTCATGCTAAACTAAATATACTAAATTCAAACTTATTAGCGGGAAATAATTATTCAACACATATTTTCATGCTATTTATTTTTAATGCCGCACTATATTCAGTTAGTATGTACGGGAGCTTCTATATCAGAAGGGGGGTGGGGGGAGGAGGCTTAGCTTACTTGCCAAAATAAAATTAAAAAACTTCGCCATTACCTAGCACAAAAAATAGGTTAAAACGTTTCCACGTTCAAGAATATTGTTTTTAGAAAAAATTGAGTGTCATTGCTTTTATTCTTGAGATGAGATGTTCTTGTGTATGAAAGCTGGCGTTGTTTTCGTGCTGTAATTTCAATTGTTGGCCTTCATCGGCGGCCTTGTAATAGTTCAATTTTGCTTCAAAGATTTTGGAATTCACTTGCAGAAAATCAGCTAAAGCCAACAACGAACCGAACCCACACCCAGGGTTGCCCATTTCATTTTGATCGGGAACTTATTTAAATATTGCACTAAAACACGCGACATGCATGCATGTAAAGCATACATATCTGGAGTAAGAACTTCAGTCAGTTGTCCTATAGCAAAAAAGTGAATCCGAAGATGCCGGAAATTTAAAAAACTATATTATTTATGCTACCATCATACTAAATTCTAGAGCTTTCGATCATCATGCATTAATGATGCATGGCGACGAGACGGCGACCAACCGGCGCTGCATCCTAACGCGTTCTCCGTAAATCTCCGTAATTTGGTCCCAATATACTCTGAAGATGCTCTTTACCATGTCGTCATTTTTTATAGGAAGAATCGAATCTTGTGCAATCATGTGTCGAGCCTCACACAACTCAAAAATCAGGTAAACTGAATAATAGAAGAAAATCATAATCAGGGAAAAGTAATATATAATTTATATATAGGGAGAAAAGCAGCCTTCATTACGTCTATAACATCAATGTCTATAACATTTTCTGGTCCACATTTTTCAAGTCTGTGAGCGTATAAAACCATGCATGCAAGAGCGACAGGTTATAATTGTTAGGATAACCTGATTGGGATAAATTCGTTACTGAATGTTGAAATAAGACTTCCAGCCGCAGTAATATATAGCCGTATCGTTCTTTGCTGCCTTGGGGTTGAACAGTTCCTACTGTTGTGTTTTATGGTTGAGTGTTTTATTATATTTATGTGCGAATCTAAATAAATAGAAATAAACTCTAACAAGACTGGAACGAAAATTTGCCGCCATCTTTTAAGCCAGGCATATGCAAATTGCATTTATCAGGGGAATAGTTATTTTGATAAATCACAAGACAGCATTCCATGACTATATGCGAATTTGTTTTCCACAAACCATCGTTCGTAAACATCATGTGACAGACTAATTCGGGCGGCATGTAGCTACCATATTATGGTATTTGTGGGCCATTTTACAATATTAATTCTACAATTTTTTTTAAAATTTTACCTCCTTGCAGGAGATTATGATATAGTTCTGAAGAACGTTCAAAACTTTACTTTGCACGACAAGGATGTCCCAGAATTGTCCAGTTTTACACTTATGTTTTGGATCAACATTATTTCGGATTCCGACACCATGACAATCTTATCCTACGATGTGGACAAAAATACCGAAGGATTTTGGCTGAAGATTTGGAGAGAAAGGATTGTCTTGAATTTTTTAATCTTCGAAAAAGTATGAAATATTTTTTTGGTTTTCAATGGAGAAATGAGTTTAGCAAAAAAAGATTGAGATCGAGTGATCAATAAGCAGATTAATTCATTGTTCAAGGCCCATCATATGGTTTTAACACATGTTGTCAAACTTTTTTCCAATTTCATGTAAATGCATGAGATTCACATCCATTCAATGAATATTTGATCGTGATCTGCAAATTGTCCGAAAATGAAATTTTGCCTCTGGCCAAGTTTTTGTTATTGTAGTATACTTCATCTGTCTTTCAGGTTTATTTGGGTTCCGCCAATCAATGACGGGTATTGGCATCACGTGGGAGTTTCGTGGTCTCTTGGAAAATACGCTTTTTTTCTTGACGGTAGATTGGTTTACAGTGGAAATGATCTCGGCTCGAGTTCACCGTTGAATGCTGGAGGTGTCTTCGTCGTAGGGCTGAAACCAAAAAGCACAAATGGGACTTCCAACCATTCATCTTTCGTCAAACTGAGTCAACTAAATGTATTGAGTGAGTTTATATCTACTGCTGCTGATGTTGAAAAGAAATTTACAAACCAAAGTTGCTTAAATATTGAATTTGGAGATATCATAAACTGGAGTACTCTTAAGGACAAAAGATATGGTGATAAGGTCGTCAATGAACAGCCAAGTTCGTGTAAGCCACTTCGAAAACGTAAGTTCTGACTCCAATTTCTTACCGCCCTAACGAATGAAACTTGCATGGAATCATTTCCCTTTTCAAAAGTTGTTGAATTACTCAAAAATCTACCTGATAGAAAAGAATCAATAATATTTGATATCATGTATCTGGTTTTGTTTTCAGACCCGAAGTATGACATTGTTATAACACAATCACAAGACGTCCATACCTTAAAATGTGGAGAAATTCAACAACTCGATGCTTTCACAATTACAACGTGGATAAAATACAAGAAGAAGCCAGTGGATCTGGACAGAGAATCTCTGTATCACAGATATGTTAATTACACAAGCGCTTCAGGAACCCTCTTGCTTTTATTTTACCTCACCGCGGATAATCTTACCTTGGAAATAGATGGGGTTGAGAAAAGGCAAAATATTTTATTATAAAATATATCTTTCAGAAAGGTGTCTGAAACAGGCGAATCTGTATAAAACCTTTCCTGATGAAGTGATGAGAGTTTGATAAGCTTTCAAACTTGCATCTGAAAACATTTTCGAAATGACTTGCCAATCAGCAAACTTATTACCGAAAAGGAATGTGCTATCAAATGTTATACCGTTTATACCGTAGCTATTTTTTACCCGCTTGAAATAGCATGGCGATTCAAGACACTACTTACTAGTCTATAACCTATCTTTAAGACACGAAAAGAACTGCTTTATTTTTTTTTAGTAGGACGTATTCCCCACTAATAAAAAAACTATAGAAACTGAATGTTAAATCGAAACCCACTCAGAGAGTGGTGACAGTAATGACTATAATGTTCAAATTCTTCAGAGAAGCAAGAATACCAATGTTTTGGAATGAAGAACCAGCATATTGGCACCATATTGCTACCACATGGTCGAGTAGTACAGGCCACTGGAAGATATATCTGGATGGTTCCTTGGTCTCTATCATGCATGATGTGGCTTCCAAAATTACTACTCCTGCAGGAGGACAACTTTCCTTGCAATTCAGTAAGAGGCATAAATTCTAGTCCAAAATTTGCACGCTGCACTTGAACCCTCTCAAAACTCTTCGTTTTTTTTCTTCGAGAGTTAACTGATTTTTCTTGCACCTTTTTAGGATATATGCGCTATTAAACTTAAAAATTATTAATATAATTATTTACCAGCAGATGATCTTGTTTCCATGTTAACTTGTTAAGAGCATGTGAGAGAAAGAGAAAGGCAAATATTATATTCCAACGTTTTCCTGGAAGAATTTGTTTCCTCATAATCTTAGGCTCATTAACAAATTGATTATTATTACATACTTAGTACCATACTTAGCGATGACCATGAGTAAAACCAAAAAGAGGCTATTTGCACGGTAAAAATGATTCAGAGAAAAGGTCTGTTATTATCGAATTTTAGGTGGATACATGCACAATATCTCTCAAAGTAGACTCAATATTTGGAACTATGAAATTGATGGACATGCTTTATCGTTAATGGCAAATAAAGGACCATTGTTTGAAAACGGTAATATCTTCGCGTGGTATGGAATAAAGTCAAAGGTTAAAGAAGACGCTTACTTTAAAGAGACACCGGATGATTTACACAACTCTCGTAAGTATGACGTGGTTTAGAACCATTAATTTTTGTATTTATTACTGTAAATGAATAAAGAGACCATTCATCTTGACGGAGTATTTTTGACAATCATAAAACCACAGAAACTCCGTAAATAATAGACATTTTAAAAATTATTTCTACGTTTCGACTATATCGACAATATAGTTAAAGTTTTTTTTAATCTTCATCTAATTCGATGACCATAGTTTAATCGAAATGTTTACTTTTACCAAATTTCTTTTGCTTTATATTTTGGTGATCTTAGGCTTTCTTACGTCTTATTTAACTGATTACTATCTTTTCTTTATCTTATAATAAGCACTTAAAAAGTTTAATTTGAAGATTTCAATACCTAGCATTAAGTTGACAAAATTTCAAACAGAAGGTCCCAGTTGATCCTGTCACTCAAATACAACATTCAAACCTTTTCCTGTATGGATACTCTAGCATGCATTTTGTAATTCCTGACGACGAGAAAGTATTTAGTATTTAGTAAAAATTGTTTTTGATAATTTTTTATTCGGTTTCATTTTCTCCTCATTCTGTCGATAATTAACCTTGTCAGCTGAAGCATTGTTATTGTTTTCTCTCGCCAGGAACAGAGTCGGTGTATCAAATGAGTTTTCCTGAAGCTTCAGACAAAAACTATGTCAAAATAGACAAGGTCGTTAACTACAATTTAACGGAAGTTTCCTCCTGTTTTTGGGCGAAATTTTTGAAAACCAATTGTGCCATATTTGCCTACTCAAGTCTGAAGTATGAAGCTGAAATTCAAGCTTATTTGTATGATTCCTTGGTATTGGACCTTGCAGTTAAGAACATTTATGCAGATAACGGGTTAGTATATATTAAGTAATTTTGGCATCCCCGTCCAAACTTAAAATAATAAATTCAAGTTAAAGTTTTGGTGCAGTAAACTTTCCGATGGCAGACAAATCTTGCTTAGGACACTCCGCAAGGAAGAATATTTATTGAACACGTGACCAGAAAGAGGTTGCGATAACTGCAAGATTGAAATTTTTAGCTCCTCTTACCACTAAGTTTATTTTTCTCATCAGTGAAAGTTTTTCCTGCGTAAAATTGTAAGACAACAGCACAAGGACTCCATAATTATTTTTACACATTTTAGACCTAAGATCTATGCCTATGACTCGTGGCATTTTTATTGCCTCCAGTGGAGAAGCTTTGATGGTTTAATCGAGGTTTATCAAGATGGGAAGAAGATAGGAACAAAATACAAAGAAAAAAATCACGCTATACATTCCAACGGCGTCGTTGTACTTGGTCAGGAATTGGATTCATATGGCGGAGGTTTTAATGGGGATCAAGCGTTTAAAGGGAGCCTTGCAGGGTTGAATCTCTGGAGTCAATTCTTGACCACCAATGTTATTCAGGGAATGGCTTCCGGAATCTTGAATGTTAACGGAAATCTTCTTCAATGGAGAGATTTCAGAGATCATGTGTTTGGTGATATAGTTATACAGAATAGATCTGAGGCAGAAATTCCAGGTTTGTTGTGATAGGATAAATATATTATCACAAAAAACACAGAATTAGAAAATTGTAGACAACAGGTTATGAGATAGAAAAGGAACTCAAGTTAAAAAACGTTAACTCAGGTCCTCCCGTGGGATTAAAAAATTTCCTCCCAAAATTTATATTAGGTCAATTTATACTGCAGAGACGGATTGTCCGTCGGGACGAATGATCCGTTTGACAGATGATTCACCTGAGTATAAACACACGCCAAACTATGTGCGTTTGGTTGTAACTTTAACCACAGATTGTCAAACTTGCAATCTACGTTGTTGTCTGGTAGAGAAAAGTTTAATTTTATTTCTTAAGAATATCGAATACAGAATCAGCGAAAAAAATGGTGTGAAAAAAACATCTCTGAAGCGTTTACTCATGCAAGATTTATTCGTGGCCGGGACACGGATGGCTACAAGTGGAGATGTGTCGAGGCGGCAGCCATGTTGGATGAGAATATGTGTTACGATATCCTTAAGAATTCATCTTTGTACTATACCAAGGACACGAAGAAAGAACTTTTGGGAATTTATTAAAAACATTTCACTCCTGTCACATCGTTATTATTGCATCGTTAAACTAAAATAGAAAACATAGGTTAAATATTTGAGTAAGAAACATGCAACTTACAACATCAGTTAAGCCACTAGTCTGAGGTACTATAACATATAGCTAGTAACGTAGTATTTTAGTTATACGTCAATACACATTGTTGACACTAGAAATAATTGTTTGATTTTATTGCGTTCGCTATAAACCATGACGCAAAGAATTAATTTACTTTTCAGGTTCAGTTACACTGTTACTGTACCTTAATCGCTGTAGAAATATGTCGCGTATAGTGTAATAAATACGCGTAGAGTAATAAATACGCGTAGACGTAGTGTAATAAATACGCGTAGTGTAATAAATAGCACAGCGTTTTTAAAATCAGCATGTATGCACGTAAACAGTAAACAGTAAGCAGTACATTCTGTAAACCGTAATTCTGTAGACACACTTTATTAATTTTACAGTCATGATGCATGAATGAAAATGCTTATAAATCATATATGTCAAACATTTATATATACACTTGCATGTGGGCCCAACAGGGTGCTTAGGAATTCAAACTCTAACTATTGCATGTTTATTGGGTGATTTCAATATAGTTTAGTATTTTGAGACACCATGTAGTATCATTCTAGCATTGTGTTTAAAAATATTCTAATCGGGCAATGTCTTTAAACATACTTCATCGATAAATGAACCTTGTTTGGAACATTTATCTTACATTGGGGAATACTTTGAGTAGAACTGAAAGGGTTTCGCTTTTGTTAATTCAGGCGACAATATAAGTATTCACTCTTCAATGCATGGCAACAATGGCGGAGATAGGCATATAGAGCAGGTGCTTTGAGAAGCAAGCCAGCTCGCTTCCACCGACGAGGCAAATCATTTCGCACTAGAACTTGTTATAATGATTAGGTAGGTGAGTATAATCATGGATGACTAAGCGAGTATAACCATTGTTGTTCGTGACGACCTAGACGGTTTTATCCGATAATTATTTTCTATACCTAAAATTTCTGTTATTTATAGCACTTCTATAGTTCTATATAAATATTCCAGCATATTCGATTTTCATGATTTTCTAGACCTATAAATCGCTCATTAGTGTAAATATTTCGTTTTTCTACATGAAAATGTTAATATGCTTCTCAGTTCCGACAAGGCAGTCACCACTTGATTTGAAAACTCAATTTACCTTTAGTCTGAGTACATTTGCACAGTCCAAAATTTTTCAATGATGCCAATGCTGTTCTGTACACATGCACATCAATCAACATACAGTCAAATTTTGCACCTGTACATTGAAGCCATGCAAATATACGACCATATCTTTCTTTGACAACTATTGGTCATGTTATTTCTGAACAGGGGCCGGTTGTATCAGGCCTTTTATATAGCCTAAACGGTGGTTAAGTTCAAAATAGAAAGCAAATCTATCGTTTTACTCAAGAAGCAAACTAAATGTTTTTAACCTTAATACAAAGATACTGTTTACAACTACATATTCAGTGCATAATATTCAAGTTGACTCACTCCAGACAGATGTAAGAGTGTTATTTATAGTTTTTGACTTATCCACCGTTTAAGCTAAACGGGCTTGATAAAACCGGCCCCTGTACTGTAGGTTAGCGCTAACCCTATGGGTTAAATTTTAATCCAGTATTTTAGTTAATGTGCTTCTGAACCACTGTTCGTTTTAAAACTTTAGAAAATATGACTTCTATCAGTCCAGAAAATATTCATGAAAAAAGATATTTGAGTTGACTTTGTAAAAAAGTAGGATTAAAAAATTAGTGTAAGGACTTGCTTTACCGCAGGGTGGATAGCTAACCGGCTTTTGAACAACCGGCCCGCCATGTCATAATTATGGCGTTTATGATCTACAACACGGTTATGAATATATTCTCACCGTTCGCCCCGCTGCACAATACCATAACTGAAAATAAACTAAGAATGGGGACAAAATGATTTTCAGCTAAGAGTAAAGTGCGGCGAGGAGACGGTGTCGCAGCCGAGGGGAGGTGGGTGGGACGAAAATTCCTTCCTGTATATGCAGCCAGGTCGTCTTCGTGGCAAAATGTGAAAATTTGCTGTTTTCCCGGTCTTTTATACCAACCGTGTTTATTCATGCGATTACTCTGATGCTGCTTATATTTGCATTAAGTTTTAACGCATTAATATGGTATTGTTTAGCGAAGCGCCCAGTGAGAATATGAATATATTCTCACCGTTCGCCCCGCTGCACAATACCATAACTGAAAATAAACTAAGAATGGGGACAAAATGATTTTCACGCCCGAGCTTCGCTGGCTCTGAAACAACATTTGATCAATCCTTTCGCGTTTACTGTGCAAATACTCTCTCCAATACTCAGAAAAAATATGAACTTGATATATTATACAAGCGTTATATTATCTAGCATTATGGCAAGGCTTCTTTCAAGGCAAGGCTTGCTTCGAAAGGTTTCTCCAAGTTGCCGCATGCGTGAATCTTGGAGGGCGGACGAAGCAGAAGCGCCGGTGGTTAAGATAGAAGAGGTTTGGGTGGGATGCATGACCGCATCCGTTTGGGTGTAATATTGTGCGGTAGCGACACTCCTCCAACCAATGTGTTTAGCTATAGCTTCGTCGGAGGCGCCCAGTAGTGACAACGTTATAGAACAACCTGCCCGGAAGCTGTGGGCGGTCTCGCTTTCATCGAGGTTTAAATTGGAGAGGTACTTCTTTAGACGATTGGTAACAGCCGAGCCAAGAAAAGAGCGTTAGTAACGCAACCTTTGGGGTCCGTGGAGCGAAATAGAAAACCCTGGCGTAGGTTGACGTGCATTCTGTCACACAGGAGGACGTATAACTGAAGGTTAGCGATCGGGGACAGGAGGATGGCGAAGGGGAAGGCTTCACAGCGAACACAAGGGTGTGTTTTCCCCGAGGTGTCTTACCGCAGGTGTGGCGATTTAAGAAACCCTCGTTACCAGGCAGACACATGACATTATTCGTTTTCAAGCGTTCTAAGTGAGAAACACGATCGCCGGAGTAGAGATCCAGGCAGAAAAAGGCTAATATCATGTTGTGATAAAGACGCCTTGATTGAATTGCACAATGTCAAAAATTTTGTCAAAGAACAAAGGAACGGGTTGTTTTGGCATCACTTGTTCTTTGCGGACAGACTTCAGATTATTAGAGACAGTTGGGTTATTAGAGGCGGGTGACTAGCTGGGTTACCAAAGCCCACGGAAGGGACATCAGAGCGATCAAGAGGGCCCAGCGATGTAAATATTGCCTTTAACTTGGCTATATAGTTGTCGGTCGTACCTGACGCGAGCCTGGTAGGACACTTGCAGGTTGCACGTCCAATAGAGGTACCCAAAAATGGACAGGCGTCCGAGTGAAAACGTTTGTATAACGTGTTTTATCTTTTCAAATCAGGAAGCGGATCACATCCCCAGTTGAAGCAGAAATCAACGTTTTTGGCTGTGGAAGAGACGCCAAGAATACCTCCTCGTCTTCCTGTAAACGGGACTTCTGACACTCGTACGGCTTTTGGCCTCTGGAGGGATTGGAAGCGAGCGTTGATATTCGGTAAATCTATATATGGAAACGTTTGGTGAATAAACTCGATGGAATGTGTGTTTTGAAATCCACACCGTTAAAATCCACATCGTTAGCATAATGGCATTTGGGGCAACATTCAGCTGGTTTCCACAAACGAGGAACATCACAGTACACGTGCCTGAACAGTACGGAAACGTTAGAATGCAGAAGGGATCCTGAAGACCCACAGGTCCCATGGCAGTGGGCGGGTCCTGAAGCCGAAAATCCTTAATCAGGGAAAAGTAAGACACCAGTAGCGCCCTTTTTCCCAACATGAATGAAGTAGAACAACGATGTTTTAGTAACGGCCACCAGTAGCGCCTGGGTGTAAGATCCGGAACGACGACAGAGAACGGGCAGCGTTGGGTTTGAAGAAACTTTAGAAGCGGACCGATTAGCACAAACGGGGGAAAATCATTGGAGACCGAAAAACGCCTGACTACGCTTGGTAGGGAGAACGTGATCGTAACCACTCTTGTCATGCATGACTGTTTGGTAGTGGTCCTTTTTAACATAACGTGGGGGATCAGTGAGTTTGTCCAAAGAGAAAGGGAGATCTTTAATCCAAAGATTCAAAAATCGAAAGAAAGTGCGCGCCAGGCACAAAATTCCGGTGGAGCAAAGCGCAGATGATTTCCCGTAAACAATAAACGTAATCTATAGCTTTAACAAGTACATAATTCATAAACAGTTCTAAACCGTTTTAATACCGCTACCACCAAGACGTAGATTCGCCCCTATTTTGGTCGCCTCAACGAAAAATATAGCTAAGCACTCCCAAATGGGTAATTAGGTAAATAAACGTATCATAAATCCACGGCGTGTGTAGAACAATCCGAATCTAAGCCTGGTACGTAACAACGCAGAATATATTTTTTAAAGTTTGTTTGATTTTTACAACATTGAAGTTCGTTTATATGTGTTGCAGAATCTATAAAAATCACAATATTCATCAGGAGCGTAAGTCCGGGTTTACACCGGTCGCAATTCATAGGTGAGCTATATTGCTGGAACACAGGCAGCATTAATCCATACCGGCTCACTAAAGCATTAGAGGTCCGTGAAACTTATACCGGTTTGAGGAAAAACGTAAACAATTTTAAGACTTCAAGGAAAGCACCATGAATTTCTATCGCTGGATCGCAAGCCAGCAATTTTGTTCGTCTCAACTAAATGCAAAAGCGTAAATAAATTGTAAATGGGAAATTGCCTCAACAAAAACTTAAATTCACACCTCTTCTCCAAAAGCATATGGACTGGTAACCTATACTCGCACACCAACAAATGAAAAGCCGTAAATGAATCTAGACTGGTACAGCAAACGCATCATAAATTACACTGCTGCCCCAAAAGTGCGTAGAAGTAAGTTATATGCATGGCTTCCACAAAAGCATAAATCTAGATTGCATGGTTCAATTCAGCATCGTAAGTCCCTACTGCTTCACCAAAAGCGTTCAGAGGTTGCTTCACCCAAAGCGGAAGTAGATTTAAACCAGTTCAATAAAGTATATCGCTTCACCTAAAGCGTCGACTGGGTAATCTTATATCGCTTCGACAAAAGCGTAAACCAATCTAGGTCAGTTCAATAAAGCAGCGTAAATCTCATAGCGCTTCACCAAAAGCGTAGACTGGGAGGCGTATATCGCTTCAACAAAAGCGTAAATAAATCTAGATTGAGTTCAAGAAAAACATCGTAAATCTATACCGCTTCACCAAAAGCGTAGAGGTACTTATGCCGCTTGGACAAAAAGCATGCGTAAACATTTTATTTATGTATTTTAACCAAATGCAACAAAAGGCCTATAAATTTATATCGCTTAAACGCAAGTGTAGGTAATCTTGGCCATCTCAACAAAGGCGTAATTAAACCGAAGTGGCAAATTGCTTCAACAAAGGTATCATAAATCTAAACCCTTAATTCAAATCAAAAGGAATTTGATGCCGCCTCAACAAAGGCGTAAAGAATGTATATCCTGTACTAGACCAAAGGCAAAAAATTTCCTATATGTCTTTCAAAACGCGGAGGAGATATAACAGTGGTATTAGTATACTAAGGAACAACTATAATAATTATAGGATACAAAGCTCCCGCCCTCAACCCGTTACCT